GAGCGCTTACTGCACTGTGGCGTCACAGCTTTCTAGCTGGTACGACACGTAGGAAAAGTGGGTGCTGGTGCAAAGAAACTTACCATGTCTGCATTTCAAAGGGAGAGCAATTTTCCCTATCGAGAGAGAGAAGGATAAGGAGGTGGAGGAGCGATAGGAGTAGAAATGGGAGGAGCGTGAACGAGACAGGAGAAGGGGTAGAGGGGGAGGGTGAGCGCAGGAAGAAGAGGAGGAGGAGCGATAGGAGGGGAAATTGGAGATGAATGAACGAGAGAAGAGGAAAGGAAGGAGAGTGAGAGGTGGGGGGATAAGAGCAGGAGGCGGAGAGGAGGAGCGATAGGAGTAGAAATTGGAGGAGAACGAACGATAAAGGAGGAAGGGGAGGAGAAAGGAGGAGGAGATGGAGGACAAATATGGATTTAGGACCGCAGATGCAAAGGTAGAACCCAGATGATAAAGCTTGCCCTCACATACCAAAGCAACCCTACAGTCAGCTCATCTAAAATTATCAGAAACAAAACCAAGAGTACGATAAGAAGCACTTGCGGAAGTAACAATCTGTATGCCCAAAGCTATCGACTGAAGAGTGTATACAGTCAGATGTGAACAGACTGATGAAAGTTGGGGTGCAAAGTGTGTACTTTACAAACTTCATCTCGGTTATGAGCCGGTAAACTTAACTACGTTTTTAAATAAATGGTACTTGCACATCAGCGAGAAAGCCGAACTTACCGAGGAACTTTTGTGGGGATAAACCAGAATCCCGAGTTTGAGTCACTTGTGACGGGCTGCTGAACCGCGTTTGCATAGGAAACGGGCACCTGGTTGGCCGAGGTCAACCGTTGTTGAGAAAGAATGGTTCCCATATTGGTCAGGGGTGGGTTGAGTGGTGATATCACTAGGCCAGGAGGGACAGCTGACAGCTGTGGAGTGGGATTTGGGGATAAAGGCTGCATTAGAAGGGGCAGAAACGTATTTCAATTTCCTTTACGAGAGATAGAAAATCGGCATAAATGCTTTACCATCTCCTATTTATCCCGTCGTTCGAAACGCCATCGTGACTAATTGCAGGTGGCGCTATGTTTGCTGCTGACACCAAATCATCCAGCCTTCCTTCTACATTAGCCTATATAAGCAGGTTAAAATTCCACAAGCCGAAATATGCGGTAATAATAAATAAACGAACACCATTTTAGATCTTTTGTCGCAAGAAGAGCTGAAATTAACGGTTAGAAAGTTTACTTAATTCTGTACTGCATCCATGCGAAGACAAAGATTAAATGTGATTGCGAATCCCCAACCTAAGTGCCTAGAATAAGTATATAGGTGAAGAGAAAGAGAGGGTGAGGTCTACAAGCGGAGCAGCATCACTATGGCAGTTCAGCGCACTCCTGTGATGTCCCTACGGACGTAATCAAATGAAAACCTTTTTGTCTTAGTCAAACGCATTTCTTATGAAGTTCACGAGAAAGGAACTCGACCGTATATTGTCGCACAAGTCCAACACTTTGTATCACTGCACCGTTTCCTCTGATAACTGATGTTTTCTAATCTGTATTTATCCCTCAGGTTTTATTTTCATATACTGTCCTCTGAAAAGAATGACAGGGTCGTATGTGATGGGTGGAAGACGCTGTCAGAAGAGTTGCTAGGTGGCAGGTTCCCTTAGCGTTTATAT